TAATGAATAGATGGAAGGAATATTTTCAGGAGCTTCTCAACTTTAAACCCCACATACTACAATTAGATGAACACTCCCCATGTCAAAACCTTGTACAACATATAAGAGTACAAGAGATAATCATATGCCTCAAGCATATGAAAAACAACAAAGCTAGGGGACCAGATGATATTCCAATAGAAAGCCTTAAAGCACTAGGAGATGATGGAATACATCTCCTCACAAATCTGTACAGTAAAATACTTGGAAATGAAGAGGTTCCCCAAAAATGGAGGCAGAGCTATCTAGTTCCTATCTTCAAAAATAAAGGGGATCCAAACAATTGTCAAAATTACAGGGGCATAAACTCTACGAAAAAATCTTAGGTAAAAGATTAAGAGGCATAATCGAATTAGGCGAGACTCAGTTTGGCTTTATGCCTGGAAGATCAACAACTGATGCTATCCACGCAATTAGGCAAATGAGTGAAAAATACAGGGAAAAGAACAAAAAGCTACACATGGTCTTTCTCGATCTAGAAAAGGCCTTCGATAGAATCCCAAGAAAACTTATCTGGTAGGCGCCACGCCACAAAAAGGTTCCCGAAAAATATATAAGAATAATACCGGATATGTAAATGATGGTCCGTAGCACAACAGGTACTTCAGCAGGCTCCACAATAGCCGAAGGAGTTCATCAAGGATCGGCTCTCAACTTCTCTTCATTACAGTAATAGATGTATTAGCACAGTCTATACCTCAAACAATCCCATGGAATATGATATTTGCAGATGATATTGTGATACTTGCCGAATCCAAAGATGAAATGAATAAATATCCTAGAAAAGCACGGACTAAAAGTAAGTAGAGAAAAGACGGAGTATATGGTGATAGGAGATGAAACAGAGTATTGATATAAATGAGTGGCAGATATCGGCAATTGAAAGCTGCAAATATTTGGGCTCCACTATACAAACAAATGACACAATAGAGAAAGAGATAAAGAGTAAAATTAATCAAGGGTGGTTAAAATGGAGATCTTTATCTGGAGTGCTATTTGACAAAAGAATCCCACACAAATTAAAGGGAAAAATTTACAGTTCTATAGTACAACCAACTATTCTATATAGTTCGGAAACATGTCCATACAAGGAATCAGGTGAGAGAAGTCTACAAACTATGGAGATGAGAATGCTGAGGATGATTGCTGGGGTAAAAAGAAAGGATAAAGTGCGCAGTACAAGAATACTAAATAGTTTAAAGGTAGTGTCCATTAAAACTAAGTTAATGGTAAAAAGACTTAGGTGGTATGGGCACACAATGAGAAGACCTATGAACTACATAGGAAATAAGGTTGAGAGTTTGGAAGTGATGGGCAAACGTAAAAGAGGAAGGCCAAGACTTCAATGGGGCCATAAAGTTAGAGCCAATATAAAGAAGTATAAATTAGATAAAAGAGATTGTATGAATAACATAAAGTCGAGAGAGATGATGAAGGAGCTTATCACCAGAAAAGGTGAAAGCTAAAAAGGAAAAAAAAACAAATTTAAAAAAAATGTTTTTAAGCCATTTTTCCTTTCATGAAAGCAATTAAAGAAAAATTTAACCCAAAGTTAGGTACCTCACATTGCTCCATACATGTCGTCTTGCATATTTCGACAAAATTGGTAATTTAATTATGGTTTGATTGTTATATTTGTTTTAGTATAAAATAAATTTTTTCAAATTTTATATGTAAATTTTTTTGTCTGTACAGTAAAATTAATATACTTTATAGTGCTTTTGTTAAATATAAGTTATAAATGAAGAAAAAATGAAATAAATATATAGTGAATTTATGTTAAATATGTAAATTGAGATAATTTGAAAGTTTCTCTTCTACCCTAGCTTCAATCTTCCAGTCGTGAGGCCACTCTTTCATTCATATCTCTCGCCGCCTTCATACCCTCAAGAATATCAAATAACTCATTAATCGGGAATCAGCTTTTGAACCCGATCCAGTATAGTTAAAGTTCTTACCACATGGAGCCTAGTAAAGAAAATTGAATTGCCTTTCAACTACAAAAGGGTAGAATTTTTCAATTGTTGATCGTTGTTGAATTTTTGTTTTCGAACCAACAACCAGAAGATCAGAATATTAAATTCGCTAATGTTTGGAGTAGTTAGGAATTAATAGAAGCAAGGCCTTTACCTCACTTCCGAACAAGTGAACATTTTTATCGGCATTTTACTGATTGTAAAATCATTTTATCCCAACTGTTAAAAAGAGCATCACACGATACAATCCAAATTGAAAAACCGATAATTCCCATTTTAAAAAGAAAGATTATTATTTATTGAATTCTTGTAAATATTTTAATTTTGTCATTTTAATCATTCTGATTTTTTTTAGTTTTTTTCCATCTCTCTTCTAATTTGTCTTTTATTATTTTTTCATCTTTTAATTTTATTTCTAAATGTTGATATATCTTTTTCTAAATAATTTATTTATTTTCTTGTCATATCTTTTTTATTTCTCCATATGTAATTTTTAATCATTCTTTTCATTTTTTAATAAAAAAATATTTGATTTGAGACAAAGAAAATAGGAAATTAATAGAAATGAATTTTTCTCCTTATATTGTAATCTTTTTTACATAAAATTAAAATGAAAAGGAATGATTAAGAAATTAAAAGAGAAGAAATCAGTAAATGAAAAAAGAGGTAATAATAATGACAAAAAAAAATGAAGAAATAAAAAATTTATTTTTAAAAAAGGCAAAAAAGAAGAATAAAAAATGAAAAATGACAAAAATAGATTTAAAATGATATAAAATTAAAGGTAAATTAGTAAAAAATAGAACAAAAGAAATAAAATCAAAAATAAGTAAAACTAATGCCAAAGAAATGACATTTCAGAATGATTTGGAATGATAAAAATATAATTTTTTATTTTAGATAAAAAGATATTACAAAATGTTTTCCTTTTTTGAATGTGAATTTTCCTTTTCTGATTACTCTCCTTTTCGTGTGAGACTTTTCCGTTTTTCTATAGCACTTTTTCTTCTTTGATTAACATTTTTCCTTTTTTATCATATTTTTATCAAACCATTTTGGTGTCTTTCCTTTTATGATCAAACCTTTTTATTTCTTGTTCAGGAGTTTTCCTTATTTGATTTAACGATTTCCTTTTTTGATCGGATCTCTCATTTTGATGACTTTTTTGGGCCAAACATTTCCCCTTTTTGGGTTAGATTAATTATCAATAAATTCACCAAAACTAGGTATGATGTGTGCCTAATAGTTATCTATCAAGATAATCGTTTAAATTTAACAGATATCACAGATCAGCAATGTAACACTTATATTTTTCTGATTTTGATTCCAAGCTAAGGCACGATGCAGGATATAAATAAATATATATAGTAATTTCTCTGAGGTAAGGGGCTAAGACTAAGGTTACCTATTAGGTTATTTTACAATATATTAGATATTGAGTTAGATTTTTAATTAATAAATATATTATATTTTTCTTAATCAATGGAACCAAGTACGCAGTTAGGCCAGAGTTTCCTGCGGTGGCGTAAGGAGACTTATTTTAACAAGGCGGGTAGGCAAACATTTTTGAATTAAAAACGATATAAAAACTGAAATGACAGTTTTTTGCACCCAAATCAAATATATTCTGGCGTCATTAATGCTCAATCTCAAATATACATTTTTATAAATAATATTTTGACAATAAATTATAGATAAAGGAGAAGCGGAAAATAATAAATTATTTATTAAAGAATTAGTAAGAATTTTAAAACCTTAAAAATGTTTTAACAAGCCCAATCCCTGTTTTGTTTATGCATAAGATTCCCTGTTGCCTTCATTTGAATCCATTTTTTTAAATTTAATTAATTTATAAATAATACCTTTTTAATGATCTCAGGTAGAGCAACATCTGATTAGATTTGACATCTTAATGTCCAGTAGATCATGGAATAAATATTTAGATTACAAATTAATAGTCTTGCACGTCCAAAGTCCCTACATTAGGTTTCTAAAATCATATTAATAGAGTTGCGTGATAGGATCACATGTTGTGAGAAATTTGTTTTCATAGATTACATTCTATTCTACGAGAAAAAGCCATACTTGACACCTCATCAAAAAAAAAGGAAAAAATCTAGATTGGATAAATAATCATATTAATTTGACAATATAAAAATTACATTTATCATTATTTATTTTAAAAAAATTGAATATCATAGTTAAATATTTTTAGGAATATAAATATACCAACACGAAATCCCCCAAAATATCAAATATAAAATTGAGTCATTAAAAATAAGCATTACTATATGAAAGCAATAGGTGGTCAAAATATTTAGAGTTATGGCAAATTTAAGGGGCAAAAATATAAATGTGATATTTATCTTCAGAAATGAGAACGTCACGAGTCCTAGAGCTGATACTGAATATTTGCTTGAAAATTTACCTCATCAAAAGATATTAACAGAATATAAAATTATCCATATAACCTAAAATAAAGTAAATAAAAAAAACTGCAATTTTTAGGCAAATAGCAAAAAAAATATGGGCCAACCTAAATAAGCTCCCCAAACACTGAGCAATAGTATAAATCAAAACCTGATTGTGAGGATAATAATTTGTTTTGTCACACAAAGACAAATTTAACAACGAAGGAGAAGACGTGCTTAATTCCGAATTTTTATTTCAATATTTACAAAAGAAAGTTCTAATTTTCAAAATTTATCCAGAATTTACTATTTAAGAAAAATGAAACATGGTTTATTCTTACTAAACAAATTAATTTTTTACATTAGATAAATTATATTGACCAAAAATTCCTGTCCATTTAATACTGACATTTTATCATTTATACTGATATTTTATCATTTATACTGATAATTAAAAAAATAATACTGATCAAAAAATATAAAAAAATAAATACTATAAATACTGATCAAAAAATATAAAAAAATAAATACTATTAGCTTTATATGTATAAATAATATGTTTAAAAATCTATACCTGTATCTTGGCAAGTTATCTTTTTGAATATTAGGGGACTCTTTGTTTCAAGTGACTTTGATTCCCAGTAAGCGAAATAGCTAGCATTTGTAGGTATACATACTAAACTAACCTAATAGCAATAATAGACAAAATGATTTTAATAATCTTGATTCCATATTCATTTATTTATATAAACAAGTTAAAGTAAATTTTAAACATAATTCAACTATTTTACAACTTTGATTATGCAATAAATGTGTACTAAAATGGTCGCTGCATTCAATATCAAAATTACTCTAAAATAAGTGGTTAATGTTTCCTATTATAGTAATGTTAAAAGAAAATAATTCAACAGCATTATATCCTGGTTTGGCGACTTTATTTTAAATTTTCTTAACAAAAATTGATAAAAATAAATATTTTATATAGATCTCCAGGCAGTTTTTGAGTTTGTAACTATAATTGTAACAGTTTAATTTTAGTTAGAATATATCACAAGTGACTATTGTAATAATTTTCAAGATTTTTTAAAAAAAATTTAAATAAAAATTGATAAAAATAAATGTTTCAAACAAGATTTTTCAGTGCCTTGGCAAATATTATAGTAATAAAGAAACATGCCAATTCTCGTAGTAATCTAACAACTTTAATAATATAATTTGATTAATATAATAGCTAGCCTTTAGATGAGGAAATTTGGGAATTCGACAAAAAAGCGATTTTAGGCAAATATATAAATCTTAAGTGTAAAGGAATGACCAAGTACTATTCTCTTTTTAGTAAGGAATTAAATTTAGCATAATATTCAATCTTTTAAAAATACTCTACCTAAGTTAAATAAATTTCTATTCTTCTCTTTTAAAAAATATATAATAATTTGCAATGAATTGAATTTAAATTTGCATATTAAGAATTTTATAATTGCTAAATAATCCTTGCAATATAAGAGCAAAATAGATAAGCACATTTCATTGTGGTCAGAAAAGATTCGGAGGATTAAAACAATATTTTATAACCCAGGCTATCGACAATATATTATTATAATGAATATCTTCTCATATTTAAATTATTAGAAAGTTTGCTTTGATGAAGAATACTAATAAATTTAAATACCTCTATTAGAGGCCTGAAATGAGAAAAATTTTAAAGCCCCAGGTCTTCGGGCTTAAGTTTTCGCCAAACATACTCCGTTCAAATTTGTACCCAGCACGTTTTGGATTCCATTTTTATTAAAGTTGCCAGGCCCGGGTTTTTTTAAATTCAGAAATATATCCAATGAAAAAATAACCAATGATGAAGAGAATTTGTATATGTCATAGGGATTTAGCAAATCATTTAATGCGTTCATTTTTTAATTTTGAGAATCCTGAATTTGCGAAATCGTATTCCAATGTGTATATAATGCCTATTCTTAAGATTTTAGAGAATTATATTAAAAATTACTGGATATATTCATAAGTAGTTTAAAGGTTTACAGCAAAATTGTCTAATATTCACAAGAAAAGTGCTACAATTTCTATAATATTAGGTTTTTCAAAATTTAAAAACAGGCGCAATTTAAGTTTTAAAGATTTGCTAAACCCCTAAGTTAAATAGAATTATATCCCCTTTTATAATTTCTAATTATCATTTATTTTTATTAAGAACCTTCTATTTTATTTTTTTTATATCCTTTTAAAGACCCGGTTGGCTCGATTTAAAAAATTATTTTAAGTATCCCCAGATCTACTGGGTTTATCAAATTTATTCAGACCTGACTCAGGGCCAAATTTGTGGATTCAATTTAGGTGGCAAATTCCATACCCTCTTTATTACTGATTTTATTGACTCCAAAAAAAAACTACTAAATCATTAGAAGGCATTTTTGGTATGATAGTAAGTATATTTGAGCTTAGGATTTCTTATAAAATTAATTAAATTTTCTATTTTGATATTCCCAATTTAATTTAAATGCAGGATGAATAATAGCAGCAGTAATATTATAATCATTATAAGCTCTTGAAAATATGCATTAAAGTAATTTAAAAATATATAACTTATTTTTATCAAATTATAAGTATTTTATTAATTGCAAGTATAAGAGAATCTCAAGAGGTTAGCTAAATTCCAAATCTGAAGAATCATTTATTTTAAAATGAGTCTACAAATAGTTGGAGTTAAAAAATCAATATCCATATAAAATTCACCTTCAAGGATCTTAAAGGCTTTTGCCAAAGGCTCCATAACTTTATTTTTATTATTTCAAAGAATTAACGAATATATTGATATTTACATAAATATTTTGGGCATATTTTTTATTCCTCAATGACTGACACTTTTGAAATGAGCGTTGGGATATAATTTTAAAGTTTAAATTTTCTAAAGACCACATCAACTATGGAAGCTAATGCTGTGGTAGAAATTCATAACTTTCTACTATGTTTCAGGATATCATTGAAATCCACACCTTGAAAATTCTTCATCCATTTCAGAACATTCTAAAAAGTAAAAAGAGGGTTGTATATAATTTAAAAGTAATTTAGATTTATTTCTAAGCCCTAGCAAAGTTTGTACTATTGTCAGTAAATAGGTTTTATTACCTTATTTTGGATTTTAAAACTTCTATGTATATTAATTATAATCTTGGCTAATACATAGAAGGTGTACTTAACTTCAAAATCTTTTAAGGCAACTGCTGCAGACTTTATTAGCAATAAATTTGAGTCGATTCAATGAGCAATTACGTCCAAGAAAGTTGTTTCAGTAAGATTGACCTCTTTTAGAAGAGAAAAATATTTACTGCAGTATAAAAATAAAAATTTTATTTTATCCAATTAAGTATCTTCTACATCTGATAACAACACTATATCGTCTTCCTTGTTTTAATATTTGAAGAAGAGAATAAAAAAGTAAAATATAATTAACAATTCAGCTCAATAAATAGTTTCATAAATTTAAATAAATATATGTTATTATTTTTATTGTATTCATTCAACAAAATCCATTTAATATTAAGATTATTTTTTAGAATTAATGAAATAAAAAAGGAGTGGATGCTCTCATTTTTGAAATATAGCCGCACTCCAGGTTTTTTGAAAAAATATATATAAAATCTTGATTTCATAGATTTTTCGAGAGTTTTTAAGACTTAAGTTTTTTCCCACATTTTTTTTCCCTAAGGATATTTTATCCATATTTATCGTAATATTTTTTTTCGGCAGTTTTTTTTTCCATATGCTTTTTTCCCATACCAAAGAAACCATATATAATTGTTTGCTCAAAATCTACTCTTAAGACAAAAAAATTTTACGGTGTGTTAAATCAACTTACCACATGGATATATTGTTCCAACATAAAAAATCAAAGTTTTTTATAATGTAATGTATAAAAAAGTATTTATATTAAATATTTTAAATAGCATATACTTATATTTTAGTAAATCAGAATATGTTTTATTTATTCAGATGGGATTAATATTATGGTATTTATTCAGGTTCGGAAAAAAGGTCCTAATCTCGGTCTCCTCTACATGTTTAAGTAAATGAGTGGCTAAGTATAAAAAAAGTGATATGAACTTAGTTATGTCAAAGGAAATCATGTATCAATATTTTACATCTTGTGGAAAGAAGAGGATGATGTTTATAAAAATAGTTAATAAATTTTTCTAATCATTAAAACTAAAAATCGCAATATTTTATCATTTTGGTACATTTTCTCTACTTTTTTTTATTTCGGTCATGGATATACTATTGTGCCTGCTAAAAAGTTAATAAATAAAGAAGAAAAAGAGCATATTTATATTCCATCAGCAAAAGATATAAAATGAGTTAAAATTAGCGTATCCTATAAAAATAAATAATTTTAAAAAAGAACCAATTTTATTCATGATATATATGTCGTATTGGGATATGGAATCATGTGGGATTCGCAATCCCAACGTGGGGATTCAAGATCTTGAATTCCCACGTTTTATTCGGGATCTTTTTTTTAAATATTTTTTTTAAAAATATTTAAAAAATATTCCGAATCCCCATGAAAAAATAAATAAATAATATAATTACCTTTTCTTCTCTTTTTATGCGGCTGGCACCATATAATTAAAAGGCCAAAATAAGGGATTTAAAAAGAGAATTTAAAAAAAAGTAAATAGTATAAAATTAAGGCATATAATAAATGAAAAGGGATGAGGTTAAGACATTTTTTGTTTTAAAAAATATTAAAATATATTACTTTTTCTTCTCTTTTTTTGCGGCTAGCACCATATAATTAAAAGGCCAAAATAAGGGAATTAAAAAGAGAATTAAAAAAAAAGTAAATTGTATAAAATTAAGGCATATAATGAATGAAAAGGGATGAGATTAAGACTTTTTTGTTTTAAAAAATATTAAAAAATATATTTAAAAAAAATCCGAATCATTGCAACAATTATTCAATGCAATATGACATTTCGTTGAACATCTAAGCAGGGACCCGAACCGTTATTTATAACGGTTCAGTTTGGTTACGGTTCAGTATGTAAAAAAATATAATGATTACGTTTTGGTTACGGTTCTTGAGAAGAAATTTATAAAGGTTCGGTTCAGCTAATTATAAATTCATTACGGTTAGAAATTTTTTTTTTATTGAAGCAACACCATATTTTTATTATAAGCTTCTATGAATTATATATAAAAAATATATATAAGATTCTATATAACTAATTTTTAAATATATTATTTGAACTTATAAGATATATTTTCAAGTATAAATGGATTCCTTTTTGTTCGTTGTGACGATAACACAAATTTTAGCCCCGAAAAAGCCCTTTCTACAGAAACTTGTGTTGCGGGAACCGCCAGTACTATAAGAACACGTTTATATATTTGGATATTCAAATTATTTCCATTTCTAAAATATAAAAACTGAAACGGTTTAACCGTTTTTTATAAAGGTTCTTTTTACTCCTTCAAAAAATAATTATATCGGTTCGGTTATGGTTTAGATATTTATAACAAAAATTTTTTTTTAAAAAAATATTTAAGGGGATTCAGAATCTTTTTTTAAAAAAACAATTAAATTATATTTTTTGCCCTGGCTGGCACCAGAAAATTTTATTTTTTAGAGATATTTAATATGTATTACTTTTATGCTTTAAATCATTAAATACTCGAAAAAATGGTTTTAATATAAATTAAAGAATTTATTGGAGAAAAGGAAAGCGGGGAAGGGGGGGGGAGGGTATATATAAAAATAAACAATATTTAAAAAATATTTAAAAAAATATTCGATCTATAAACATCTGTTATTAGCATAGCAATGTAAATATTAATATTAATAATATTGTAAAAATGTATATTATTTTATATATGTAAATTAGAAATAATAAGCATATATAAAAATAGACGAAAAGAAAATAATAATACATATTTCAATAAATGTAAAAAATAAATATTATTTTTAAAATTAATAATTTAGACAAATTAGAGGAAGAGAAAGCGAAAAGCGGGCCTAATTTTTTATTAACAGCCCTCCCGCTCACGGTGGCATTAAAAACATTCACGCTTACCACTAAAAAATTTTTGACCCGACGCGCCAGCTCACGAAAGGCAATATTTTAATTCACGCCTGAAAATTTACGGTGTTTTTATATTTTCAAAACTTTAATGCTATAATTTTTTACACTTTATTGAATTTATTCTATTTATTTCTTTAATACCATAATCCAAAAAATAAATACATAATATAAATCCAAATTTTTACTTAGAAAAAGAAGAATGTCTATTTTTTTATTTCAATTGTGTACGCCTTTCCTCTAATAGGTGATTGGCTACAGAAAATAACCTTTCACTAGAAGCCAAATTTGCCAGGGCTGACAAAATTTTACTCTATAATTTTCTCAAAAAAAGAAATAAATTTTCCTGCTTCCAAAACTTCAAAATATTGCCATTATTATTTGTTTTATTTTTTAAAATTTTATTTTGATAATATTGATATTGGTATAATTTTTAAAAAAAATGATAAAACACTAAAATATTAAAACAACTGTAGAAAAATATGTATAAATATATAAAATTAATAAATAAAAATATATATTAATAGTATCGAAGGCTCTAAAAAGTGCTTAATTTAATAATGAAAATATACCTAAAACACAAGTATAATTGTGTTTAAAAATTTCCAATTGAAGTTTTTGTTTAAGAAATAAGGAATCGCGATTTTCGTTTGTTAAGCTAAAAAATTTTCGTTATAAAGTTTTTTAAAAAAATATATGTAGACTGTGAAATATTGCCCTTAGTTGAAATGACTTTTTGCATTGAATAATTGTTGCAATAATTCGGATTTTTTATAAATATATTTTTTAAAACAAAAAAGTCTTAATCTCATCCCTTTTCATTCATTATATATGCCTTAATTTTATACTATTTACATTTTTTTAAATTCTCTTTTTAAATCCCTTATTTTGGCCTTTTAATTATATGGTGCCTGCCAGCTGAAAAAAAAGAGAAGAAAAAGTAATATATTTTAATATTTTTTAAAACAAAAATGTCTTAACCTCATCCCTTTTCATTTATATATGCCTTAATTTTATACTATTTACTTTTTTTAAATTTTCTTTTTAAATCCCTTATTTTGGCCTTTCAATTATATGATGCCAGCCGAAAAAAAAGAGAAGAAAAAGTAATATATTTTAATATTTTTTAAAACAAAAATGTCTTAACCTCATCCCTTTTCATTTATTATATGCCTTAATTTTATACTATTTACTTTTTTTTTAAATTCTCTTTTTAAATCCCTTATTTTGGCCTTTTAATTATATGGTGCCAGCCGCATAAAAAGAGAAGAAAAAGTAATTATCATATTTATTTATTTTTCATGGGGATTCGGAATATTTTTTAAAATTTTTAAAAAAAATATTTAAAAAAAAATCCCGAATAAAACGTGGGGATTCCGAATCCCACATGATTCCATATCCCAATACGACATATATTATAATTTTTTTTTAAAAAAAATCAGGAATGATGACAAAGATTTTTGTATATTTATTGGACCCAAAGTTTTTACCATTTGACCTATTTTTGCAAACATTATATTTTCGATTAATTGTGGCGTCCCAGTTATCTTCCCATTCAAATGCATATTCAAAGCTGATCCTGGAGAATAATATACGTTATTAGACATGGACAAATAGCACACATCCCTATCTTGATTTTTTGATTTGTACTCGTCCTCCTTGCCATTTCTTTTTCAATTATTATTATAAAAATTCAATTTTTAAAAAACATTTAGAAAATTAGGAAATTTTCTGAATAATATTCTTTGATGTTTGAGTCAGAGTAAAAGTTTATAGTGCCCTTTGATCAAAATTTTTAAAAAACAAGGGAATGGCATGCTCTTTCCAAGAATTTTATAAAATAATGATATATACTATAAACCATATTATTTAAGGAAAGTATTTAATTATTTATAAAAAAATCTTACATAACCATCCAAATTTATATAGCTAAGTTTTTTTTAAAACTTTCAGAAGTTAAAATTTTAATGAAATCCTATATTCAATTTTTTAAATTTTCAAGAATTATATTTTGGACATGTTTTTATTTTTGCATTAAATTTCTATATTTTTTTCTATAAAGTTTCAAAAGTTTTTAATCATATTTTTTGATATTTTGGATTTTAGCCTATATGAAAAAGATTTTGAAATTTTTATCACAATTTTATATTAAAATCAGAGTTGATATTTTTAAATTAGAAAAAGGTAATGGAATCCTAATCAATATGTACAGAAATGATATTTTAAACGTTAGAATAAAATCTTTAAAATTTTATTAAGATTAACAGAGTTTATGAATATTCTTTTAGTGTTGTTAAACGGCTCGATTTCAGCCGATTTTTAAAAACGGCTAACTCAATATTTTAGCCAGAAAACTATTGTCTAAACCTCGAGATTTCGTTAATAGATGTTCAAACCTGTGTTCCGCCTATGAGCAAAATCTAAAGGCTTGCATAATATTTTTCCTAATAAAATATTGATTTAGCCGTTTTTAAAAATCGGCTTAAAATGAGCCGTTATTTTTAATTAAGTACATATGGTAAATCTATTCTAAACAATTTCTTTGCTTTAACCCGTCTTCCCCTCTCTTTCTTTCCAATTGATATTGTTTTTGCCTCAAGGGAGATGATATATAGTTTAAATCTTACCGTAAGACATATAATATGACTACATTAATATTTCAAAATTACTGGGCATAAGTAAATCTCATATAATCATAGAAATAAAAATGTAATTTTATATTAATTACAAATTTTCTTGCACTGATTGCAAATATTGCCCAAACTAAGAAATATAATCTTGGTAATAATGTTTTTATTTAATCATAAAAATCCCCTTCCTTCCCTGAAAGAAATTGTAAGTTTTAATACATTGATATGTTAACAAGGCTAAATCAATTTTTGGATAAGGTAAAAATGATCGTAAATTAATATATATTTTCTAAAACTTATGCCATTTTTCGAAATATATGTATTTTTTATGCATAGCAAATAATATAGTAAACAATTATTATTTTACCCAATTGTTCATCTATTTTTTATATGCAAAATAAGAACAATAACAATAATTTTTGATATTAAATTAAATTTTGATAGAAATTTTTCTTGCAAGGCTAGTAATGTTATAGATCTATTATTTTTCCAACAATAGAAATAACTTTAGATTACAATAAAATTTATTCCCATTAATACCTTAAAACTATTGGACACCACAATCTCTATAAAAACTCCTACGACTATTGTTACAACGCTGATACTATTACTCCTAATTAGTGATACTGTATGTTGTGCAACTTATTTTGTCTATGTAACTTCCAACTGGGCATAGGAGGAATATCCGGTCTGCAAATATATAGTTATTATAACCAAATTTACTAGGACCACCAAAATAACCACATATACTTAACCATACTTCTGCGACTTATACTGCACATACTACTTCAATAATATCACTACAGCTTATAAAAGCAGGGCTAGGCCAACTTCTATAAAACTAAGACAATTAGAACTTCACAGACTTACAAAACTAGATCCACTCTTACCACTTATCCTTACCACTTCTGACCACCATAAAACTTTAAAAACTAAGATAACTATATAGGCATAGCTTACAGAACAATTAGAACTAATCCAACCAATTATCCTCTAATCACTACTGACAACCAGTATTTTATGAATCACTGCAGAACTGTGACCCCGAGAACTATGCAAACTTACGAGGCAACCAGAACTATACAAACTACTTTAACCCCTTATCCTCTTACCACAACTAATAATGACGATAATACAACTTACTACAAAGCCGAGAAAACTAGAAGTACACTAACTCACAGTATCATTAGAACTACGCAAATTACGAAAACTCCTTATCCTCTAACCAAATTTGTCGATGAAGATTATACAAACTACAGAAGTGAGAGGAATAGATATACACCAACTCACAGGACCACTAGAAGAGAGATTAAATTCAAATAAAAAAGAATGATTCCATGGAATAAGAAGGATTCAAAAATTTAAAGGTTGAATGTGATTGTTTTAAGTTGAAGGGATAAATATTTCAACACTTTTGGTATCCCTATAAAGAGAAATTAAACCTATCTGAAAGATCATATATTTCTCACATACAACTTTCAATTTCAAGTATTTCATTTTCTCTTTAACAAACAATGAATAGGGGAGACCGTGGATATTTTTATTTCGGGGTCGGTAATTTCTTCTCAAATAATTTTAAAACTAATAAACTTTGATATTTGTTATTTAAACCATATATGTATTTTAATAAGAAACTTCAATGGTTCTAAAAATGCCTTGTATATGCACGAGAAAAGTTTTAAGTGCAAATTTAACTTTTAACATGTCGAAAGTAACTTTTTAATCTTTTACAGTTTTACAATAAATTTTTTTTATAAAAGTTACACAGACTAAATTCAATTCTAAATGATAAAGTTCTTAATTTTATCAAAGTATAAAATTATTGACAATATTTGTAGAATTTAATATAAATTAAATCATAATTAAAAGTAAAGACCTGAGGCAGGTTTTGGCGGGTTGCGTATTCGCCAATTTTAAGCAGGGATTAGGGACATGAATGAAAATATGAAGCTGGTTGACTTATTTTATTGTAAATTATATAGCAGTTTTAAGTGACAATGAGATATAATATAGGTGAACCTGGTAATTTAACATATTTGAAAATTTATTTACATTTATTTACTTAGAACGGCATTTATATATTAAAAAAATTCTAAAAATTAAAAAGTGCTATAACCTTAATGCGAAAGGGCCATATTTATTTTAAATTTTCATTTTTTTTAAATTTAATATTAATAAAAAATAAATAAATAATTTTTTTTGTAAATATTAATTTCTTCATCTATTTTTTATAGCACTTCAATCTTTTATGGACACTCCGGTCTCCCCTACATATATTCTTTTAGATATAAACCAGGAAATTCTGAAATGTACAAAATTATGTCGCACTTAGTTATTTTATCCTAGATTTCATTTATTTTTCCCTATCAGAAATTTCTATTTCTGGTTTATCCATCATCAAATAAAGGGGAAAATTCTGATTCACATCATTAAATTATGGATAAAATTTATTTCTCCCGTCATTTTTGACAGGAGCTATGATTTAGAAATTTACCTTTTTTGTCTAATTTGTTCATTATCAAATAAAGAGGAAATTTCTGATTTTCCATCATCAAGTGAGGGAGAAAATTCTGATCCCCGTCATTCTTGACAAGCTATCAGCTAGTTATAATATAATGTTATAATAATATTTTTCTATTCCTTTCGGTTTTAGACCTTGTTCATTTGTTTAACTTTTCTAAATTAGGCGCGCATGTTCCTAGTTATAGATAGGGATCGCAAGGAACACGATCTCAGAAATAATTAAGTGGATGCCATAAAATTTGTTTGCAAACCGGTTCCAGTTGCTGGTCTACTCTTACTCACGCAGGTTATTAAAGAGGAAGCTTTTTTAGTAGGTTATATTACTAGGTTACTGCCCTTCATTGATAGATAATTATAAATTAAGGGTAGATTTTTTTAGCATTAGGATCAAATTGCTTCAAAGAATTTAATTATTCGTTCTTTCACCTCTTTTTTTTTTAGTTAGTTTAAATAAAAATGGAACGTTCTCAATATTTTATGGAAAAATATAACTTACATGAAAGCACTAGATTTAAAAATTAATTTTGATTTTCAATAGATAATATAATTTACACCTATTTAATAAATTTTAAACTGAACTCTTATACATTTCATAGTGAATTTATAAACATCTTATACTTAGTTGTAATAGTCAAAAATGTCTATAATATTCTGTTATAAAGCAATTTACCGGTCATAATTTAATGATGGTATGGGTATTGATTGACTTAACATACTATGGAATCCACAATTAGTTATATTCATACTTTTCACGTCTTTTCAAAAATATAAATTTTTCATTATTATTGAAGAAAAATTGAATAAATAAACATTGTTTAGTTAAAACCAGTGACTCGGAACAAAGATATTTTTGCATTCCTGTTCCGTGTTCTTGTTCAAACCAATAATATGTTCGGTTCTTTTTCCGTTCCATGTTTCTCAACATTCCACAACACTTTCCTAAAAATACTTTATTTCTACTTTATCATATATTATATCAATCTTTACCCTATGTAGGGGAGACAGGGAACTTATCCCAGAGCAGGCAATTTCTTCCGAAATAATTTTGAAAATCAAAATTTAAACCATAAATGCATATTAATAAGATTCTTCAATGGTAGCCTATAAAAAAAAGAATCGAATAGAATAATTTATTATTCATACTCATACAAATAATAAAATCATTATTCGATTCGAAAATTTTTTTAAAGCTTATTTTTTAAAAATAATAAACAGATGTAGATGTTTCAAAATGATACTTTTAAGGATTTTCTAAACTAATTGTCATTAGCATATCAAAATTTTCAGAAAATAAACGAAATAAAACCAAATGATTTCATATAACGTTATCCAAAGAAATTGGCCAAAAACACTCGATTTTTAGAATTAGAATTGTTTATAAAAATATTAAAATTATTTCTTCAATCTAATATTCAAATTTTCTAAAAATGTTCAAAGATCTCATTTTTTAAACATCAAAATATAATACAGAAAAAATATAATTATGGATCCGAATTTGACATAACCAGTTTTTAAAGTATAAAGTCTTTCTAATGGTTTCTTCCTTCAAAAACATTCTATTCTTGTGATATTTGTCCCTATTGAGAATTTATCTCACATGTAGCCGAAGATCCCTGAATGGACAACATATCAGTTACCATTTTCGACAACACGGGAAAAGGTTACTAAATGGAAAAGGGATTAATCAAAGAATAAGAACTCGTCAATAAAATTTAACTATTCATCTGCCAAGAGTAAGAGAATATGGGAAGCAGATATTCCAGAATAATGTTTTGACTTGTTCATAACACCAAAACCAAAAATGATTGAAGAGATTATTTATCATACTAATGAAAAAAATTAAAACTATAAGTAAAAACTATTATGAAAGTTCTACTAAAGAAGCTGATGTAACCAAATTCAAGCATTATTTGGAATTCTTATTTAGCTGGTATTTTTAAATCTAAATATCAAAAAAAATAATTATATTTATTAGTTTACTTTGCTGGGGCATTTCCTTTCCACAATACTTCTTATCAGAAAATATAACTTATGATTTGAATAATGAATATATATAAAAAATAGGAAATTGTTACATATTAGTAACGATTTAATCAGTCGCGTAACCAATGGGGGGGGGGATTCCCCCCCCCTCAACCCGACCCCCCAATCAAAATTTTATAAATATTTGAATATCAATTTTTTAACATAAAACTTATTTTTTATAAATAAATTTTATTATTCCAAATTTCAATTCAATCCACAATGCAATGAATTATATTTAAAATAATGAAAGGATATTATAGCTATTCAAAAATATTAATAATTTTAGTCAAAGAGATTGAAATCAAACGGTAATTTATTTTATTATTATATTTGTCGTATTCACGTTTTATTCGGGATCTTTTTTTTAAATATCCGAATCCATGAAAAAAAAATAAAATAATATAATTCTTTTTCTTCTCTTTTTTGCGGCTGGCACCATATATATAAAAGGCCAAAATAAGGGATTTAAAATGAGAATTTAAAAAAAAGTAAATAGTATAAAATTAAGGCATATAATAAAATGAAAAGGGATGAGGTTAAGACATTTTTGTTTTAAAAAATATTAAAATATATTATTTTTTCTTCTCTTTTTTTGCGGTTGGCACCATATAATGAAAAGGTCAAAATAAGGGATATAAAAAAAAAATTTAAAAAAAAGTAAATAATATAAAATTAAGGCATATAATGAATGAAAAGGGATGAGGTTAAGACTTTTTTGTTTTAAAAAATATATAAAAAATCCGATTACTGTTCAGTAGGTAAAAAATTATAATGGTTACGTTTTGGTTACGGTTCTTGAGAAGAAATTTATAACGGTTCAGCTAATTATAAAGGTTTATAAAGGTTCATTACTGTTAGAAATTTTTTTTTATTGAAGCAACAACATCTTCTAATTTATTTTTATTACAAGCATCTATGAATTATATATAAAAAATATATATAAGATTCAAAATAACTCATTTTTAAATATATTATTTGAACTTATAAGTAATATATTTTCAAGTATAAATGGATTCATTTTTGTTCGTTGTGACGATAACACAATTAACCCCGAAAAAGCCCTTTCTACAGAAACTTGTGTTGTGGGAACCGCCAGTACTATAAGAGCACGTTTATATAATTGGATATAAATTATTTCCCTTTCTAAAATAGTGATCGTTTTTTATAAAGGTTCTTCACTCCTTCAAAAAAAATATATCGGTTCGGTTACGGTTATGATATTTATAACAAAAATAAATTTTTTAAAAAAAAATATTTAAGGGGATTCGGAATCTTTTTTTTAAAAAACAATTAAATTATATTTTTTTGCCGCCTGGCTGGCACCAGAAAATTTTATTTTTTAGAGATATTTAATATGTATTACTTTTATGCTTTAAATCATTAAATAATAAATACTCGAAAAAATGGTTTTAATATAAATTAAATGTAAAAATATAAATGTGGCAATGAAAATATTCACCCCCATTTACGCTTACCACTAAAAAATTACGAAAGGCAATATTTTAATTAACGCCCGAAAATTTCCGGTGTTTTTAAATTTTTCAAAACTTTAATGCTATAATTTTTTACACTTTTTAGAATTTATTTCTTTAATTTCATAATCCATTATAATAAAAAATTAATACATATTATAAATCCAAATTTTTACTTAGAAAAAGAAGAATGTCTATTTTTTTTATTTCAATTGTGTACGCCTTTCCTCTAATAAGCGATTGGCTACAGAAAATAACCTTTCACTTAGAAGCCGAATTTGCCAGGGTTGACAAAATTTTATTCTCTAATTTTCTCAAAAAAGGAAATAAATTTTCCTTCTTCCAAAACTTCAAAATATTGTCATTGTTATTTGTTTTATGGGATGAATCTTTTAAATTCACACAGCTTTCATCGGTAGATGTTGATGCTTCATCAAAATCATCTAAAAATATGTTTCATTTAGAATATATGGTTTTTTATGAATGTAGGATAAATTAGGAAAGTTATAAATGACAGTTGGCATTGACTTATGCATATCATATAATTTTATATCGTTTCTTTTTAAGATTGTTTTGTAAATATCTTCCTTTTCTTCGTCTCTTAAAAACTTAAGTCTTTTGAAATTAGGATCTAGAATTAAGCCTACCTTAAGTGCTTGTGAATAAATTTTAAAGTTTAAGTAAAAAATCTCGTGACAAAACACCTAAACATAAAAAGAAAATAGAACTCAGAGCGTGACACCGGATGTTATTTATAAAATGCGGGAATATTTTTGTTTTCAAATATTATTTTTTTTAAAAAGAACTAAATTAAATTAGAAAATATGTATTTTAATTATAAAATTGCAAATTTATATTTATAAAAAAAATTAAAATTTCCGTGATTCACGGAAAATTCATGTTCACGCCCGGGAAAAATTTTGGGAAGGCCCGTCACGCCCAGTCACGCCTGATAATTTAAAATTTAATCACACTCACGCTGTATTTCAAGGCAGCGCCTACCTCTAATCATCATTATTTAATTGTTTAGATAAAAAAAATTTTCATTGATAAAATAGTTTAATTATTAAGAAGGATCTTTCATGGTATTAAGAAGTCTTGACAGTATATGAGGTAGTAAAAATTTATCATCTCTTATATTATGCCATGTGCAATTATTAAATAAGCATTTATATTATTTTGGTTAATATTTTTAGGCACATTTTGAAATTAGTAAAATAATTTTATGACAAGAAATCCACTTAATTTGCTAAACATCGACCAAAATTTATTAAAATATAATAAGACCCCCATTTATTATTTTATTTAATATGTATACGGAATCACGAGGTCGAGTCCTATATCATAAACCAGAAATCACTTCGTTATGGATGGGTATAATAAAACAAAAAAAGAATTAAATAAATTTTTTCCCATTCAAATTTTTAGATAATCTTAAAAATGTGCGTGGTAAAACTTAGGATTTATAATATGTATTTTTGTTATTATGGATTATGGAATTAAAGAAATAAATTCAAAAAAGTGTATAAAATTATAGCATTAAAGTTTTGAAAAATTTAAAAACACCGTGAATTTTCGGTCGTTAATCAAAATATTGCTTTTCTTGAGCGGGCGGGTCGGGTCCAAAATTTTTTATTGGTAAGCGTGGTGAATATTTTCATTGCCAGATTTATATTTTTACATTTAATTTATATTAAAACAATTTTTTCTAGTATTTAATGATTTAAAGCATAAAAGTAATACATATTAAATTAAATATCTCTAAAAATAAAAATTTCTGGTTCCAGCCAAGCGGCAAAAAAATATAATTTAATTGTTTTTTAAAAAAAAGATTCCGAATCCCCTTAAATATTTTTTTTAAAAATTTATTTTTGTTATAAATATCTGAACCGTAACCGAACCGATATAATTATTTTTGGAAGGAATAAAATAACCTTTATAAAAAACAGTTAAACCTTTTCAGTTTTTATATTTTAGAAATGGAAATAATTTGAATATCCATTTATATAAACGTGCTTTTATAGTACTGGCGGTTTCCGCAACACAAGTTTCTGTAGAAAGTGCTTTTTCGGGGCTAATTGTGTTAACGACACAACGAACAAAAATGAATCCATTTATACTTGAAAATATATTACTTATGAGTTCAATTAATATATTTAAAAATGAGTTATTTTGAATCTTATATATTTTTTTTTATATAATTCATAGATGCTTGTGATAAAAATAAATTAGAAGATGTTGTTGCTTCAATAAAAAAA